CTCTCCTTGTATCTCTATCTCTCTCTTTTGTATCTCTCTCTCTGTATCTCTATCTCTCTCCGTATATCTTTCTCTCTATCTCTCCTTGTAGCTCTTTCTCTCTATCTCTCTCTTTGTATCCCTCCTCGTATCTCTCTCTCTTTTTTACACACACACCCCATCGAACTTAACCACCCTAGCACCCATTGACCTGGCTTCACCTAAATTGCCTGTGTTCTCGATTCCACAGCTTCGACTGGTAGATCGTTCCATAGGTCTACCAGCCTCTGTGTGTGAAGTATTTCCATAGGTCTACCAGCCTCTGTGTGAAGTATTTCCATAGGTCTACCAGCCTCTGTGTGTGAAGTATTTCCATAGGTCTACCAGCCTCTGTGTGTGAAGTATTTCCATAGGTCTACCAGCCTCTGTGTGTGTGTGAAGTATTTCCATAGGTCTACCAGCCTCTGTGTGTGAAGTACACCATAGGCCCACCAGCCCTGTGTGTCAAGCATTACCATAGGTCTACCAGCCTCTGTGTGTGAAGTATTTCCATAGGTCTACCAGCCTCTGTGTGAAGTATTTCCATAGGTCTACCAGCCTCTGTGTGTGAAGTATTTCCATAGGTCTACCAGCCTCTGTGTGTGAAGTATTTCCATAGGTCTACCAGCCTCTGTGTGTGTGTGAAGTATTTCCATAGGTCTACCAGCCTCTGTGTGTGTGTGAAGTATTTCCATAGGTCTACCAGCCTCTGTGTGTGAAGTATTTCCATAGGTCTACTAGCCTGTGTGTGTCATGTATTACCATAGGGTCTACCAGCCTCTGTGTGTGAAGTATTTCCATAGGTCTACTAGCCTCTGTGTGTCACGTATTACCATAGGTCTACCAGCCTCTGTGTGTCAAGTATTTCCATAGGTCTACCAGCCTCTGTGTGTGTGAAGTATTTCCATAGGTCTACCAGCCTCTGTGTGTGAAGTATTTCCATAGGCTCACTCACAGCCTCTGTGTGTGAAGTATTTCCACAGGTCTACCAGCCTCTGTGTGTGAAGTATTACCAGGTCTACCAGCCTCCTGTGTGTGAAGTATTTCCATAGGTCTACCAGCCTCTGTGTCAAGTATTTCCATAGGTCTACTCATGTCATATTTCCATAGGTCTACCAGCCTCTGTGTGTGAAGTATTTCATAGGTCTACCAGCCTCTGTGTGTGTGAAGTATTTCCAGATCTACCAGCCTCTGTGTGTCAAGTATTTCCATAGGTCTACCAGCCTATTTGTGTGAAGTATTTCCATAGGTCTACCAGCTCTTGTGTGTGTGAAATATCGGCTAGGTCTACCAGTCATGTGTGAAGTATTTCCATAGGTCTACCCAGTCTCTGTGTGTGTGTGAAGTATTTCCATAGGTCTACCAGCCTCTGTGTGTCAAGTATTTCCTGCCAGGTCTACTCAGCCTCTGTGTGTGAAGTATTTGCCAGGTCTACCAGCCTCTGTGTGTGTGAAGTATTTCCATAGGTCTAACAGCCTATGTGTGTGAAGTATTTCCATAGGTCTACCAGCCTATTTGTGTGAAGTATTTGCCAGGTCTACCAGCCTCTGTGTGTGTGAAGTATTTCCATAGGTCTACCAGCCTCTCTGTGTCAAGTATTTCCATAGGTCTACCAGCCTCTGTGTGTGAAGTATTACCAGTCTACCAGCCTCTGTGTGTGAAGCATTACCATAGGCCCAACAGCCCTCTGTGTCAAGTATTTCCATAGGTCTACCAGCCTCTGTGTCAATTATTTCCATAGGTCTACCAGCCTCTGTGTGTGAAGTATTACCATAGGTCTACCAGCCTCTGTGTGTCAAGTATTTCCATAGGTCTACCAGCCTCTGTGTGTCACGTATTACCATAGGTCTACCAGCCTCTGTGTGTGAAGTATTTCCATAGGTCTACCAGCCTCTGTGTGTCAAGTATTACCATAGGTCTACCAGCCTCTGTGTGTGAAGTATTTCCTTATGTTCGTTCTGTATGATAATTTGACGAGCTATAATTCAGGTGATCCAAACTGAGCACAAAACATAATACTGTTATGGTTGAGTCGTTAAGAATGTTGTAGTTTTATTAAAAGACGACCAATAAATACTGTATAATTACCTGAAGAAGATTTGTCGGATCACCTGAAGAATCTCCACCCCAGAGTATGCCACCTAAAGATTAACCTAACCTAACCTAACCACCCTAACCTAACCTAACCTAACCACCCTAACCTAACCACCCCTCAAATAGCGTTAAGGTGGTTAATCTTTAGGTAAATTAAGGTGAGCTTGTGTATGTGTTTCTGGCGACGACCACAACACCGCGGCCTTCAGCACTCAGTATCACCCAACACAATGTAAACAAAGACTGTGGTGCCGTTATGAAATCAGCTGATCAGGACTAACGTGAGGAGAGCGTTAATGATCTCTCTCTCTCTCTCTCTCTCTCTCTCTCACACACACACACATCAACGTAAACAACCCTATATGAATGGTAATTAAAGGAGACTTAATTAAAGATGGTTCAAACTTCTTAAAGGTAATGAAGAGTTCAGTGTGTGTGTGTGTGTGTGTGTGTGTGTGTGTGTGTGTGTGTGTGTGTGTGTGTGTGGGAAGGAATGGGAGAAGGTGAGGAATTGTTGTGCATATACAGGTTTTGAGAGAGAGAGAGAGAGAGAGAGAGAGAGAGAGAGAGAGAGAGAGAGAGAGAGAGAGAGAGAGAGAGAGAGAGAGAGAGAGAGAGGATGTTCTACAGGTGGGAGGGGAAGGAGGGTGGGGTGGTGGACAGGTGGAGGAAAAGGGAGGGGTGTGGTGACAGGTGGAGGGAAAGGGAGGGTGGGTGGTGACAGGTGGAGGGAAAGGGAGGGTGGGTGGTGACAGGTGGAGGGAAAGGGAGGGTGTGTGGTGGACAGGAGGGAAAGGGAGGGTGTGTGGTGACAGGTGGAGGGAAGAGGGTGGTGGACAGGTGGAAGGGGAAGGAGGTGGGTGGTGACAGGTGGAGGGGAAGGGTGGGTGGGTGGGTGGGTGTGGGTGGGTGGGTGGGGTGGGTGGGTGGAGGGAGGGAGGGACGGAGGGAGAGAGGGGGGGGGAGAGATGAGGTGTTAGGGGAGGGGAGGTGGTGGACGCCAGAAAGGGGGTAACCCAGGTGGTTTGGCCAGGTGGGTTTCAACTGATGCCTCCTCCTCTGTACCACCGCACCACCGCCATCACCACAAATATACCAAAACACCACCACTACAACCATCACACCACACCACCAACACCTCACCACCATCACATAACCATCACTACCACACCACCAGCAACACAATTACCATGACCCCATCACCATCAACACCACATCACCATCAACCCACCACCACTACACCAATACCACCATACCACCCAACCACCACCACCACACAGCTGGTGGACCCAGGAAGCAGTTCTTGGCACAGGCTCAGGGTGGCAACATCCACACGTGTTTTCTCTGGCAGTGAAGGGGAGTAGGAGGGGCGGAGGAGGAGGATGAGACGGGTAGAGGAGGGAGAAGGGTGGGGGAGGAAAGGGATGGAGAAGGAGGAAAGGGTTGGAGAAGGAGGAAAGGGTTGGAGAAGGAGGAAAGATGAAGGTGGTGGAGGAATCGAGGAAGGGTAGAAAAGGAGAGTGGCGGAGGGGAAGAATGACGAAGGGTAGAAGAGGGGGAGGAGGAGGTAACGGATGAGAGGGACTTGTGCGAATGGGAAGTGTGAGTGGGAAGAAATCACAATATTTCTGTACTATGTCAAGCTTACTGGTTCTCAAGCTTACTCTACTGTTACTGTAATCGATGAACGACCACAGAGAAAAAAACGTATTACAGTAGTGACACGTTAACCAAGAGCACCACAAGATTGTCTTAGTTAGTGCTGCAACCGTTTTCTATAATAGGTTTATGACGTCCATAATAGTACATCATAGAAAACGAAAATCGCCCGTTCTCATCCCATACTTAGGGAACTTTGTCACTTTGAGAATTTATTTATAACCAAATGATTTTCTCCTCTATGGATAACAAAGAAATCGATCTATTGTCACCATACTTTGATCTGCCCAATGTCTGTCCATCAAGTATTGGCCAAAGTTGATGAAGACAGACTTGAGTTGTTTAGTTTGGATCGTGTCGTCAGCTTTAAAAAAATATATGAATGGCGATTGTGTTCACATTACTGTACTTTTCTAACATCGTACAGTACTGGGGCGTGATAAAAGTGGTAATTAGTAGGTAGTGGTTATGTAATGGTAGTCGTAATGTAGTAGTAATGTAATGATAATAGAAATAGTAGTAATAGTAGTGGGATAGGACCAAGTGCAAGATGCCTCTACGCCAGACTCGCGGAGGTGCTATCCGAACAGAAGCAGCAGCCCAGAAGTTATGTTACAGCCTGGATGAGATGTCGACTGTCCTTCTCTCTCCTTCGGTCGGCTTTGCTCTGCCTCAGGAGAACGAGAGCATCGGCCCCAAAGCCGACAACAGTTGCAGATAATGACTATGAGGCTACAGTCACTGAATGCCGCATAGATCTGCTACTTATGTATTAGGAGACTTAATATTAAGGTAATAAAATGGTGGCGAAGGTATGGCTATTGGGGGCTGCAGGCCACGTAGTAGTACTAGTAGTAGTAGTATTCAACCACTCAAGTACCATGTGTATGTGTGTGTGTGTTAATCATCTCAGTACACAGGTAATACATATCGGTCTTCTCCGGCGGCGCTGCATCACCTCTCGGGAAGCTCACTGATAACACTTGACGGTTCTCACCGTTTCCTGACCTATATACTGAGGATCAAAGGTCTTGACTACAGTGGTGTACAGGTGGTGACTACAGTGGTGTACAGGTGGTGACTACAGTGGTGTACAGGTGGCTACAGTGGTGTACAGGTGGCTACAGTGGTGTACAGGTGGAGACTACAGTGATGTACAGGTGGAGACTACAGTGGTGTAGCTGGGAAAATCTTCACGTACAGTAACTGGAGGTAAACAAGGCACTTACCGTGTGTCGCTTGAACCACACCGGTTGGTGGGAGGTGCGGGTCAAGGACGTAGTCTCGGGGCTGCGGCGCTCTGCGATGCTTCTGTCGATGTAGTCGTTGTTTCTACGAGCGGGGGGCGCCTCAGCCTCTGCCACCCGACGGATAGTGAACTGGTGGCGTGGGCGTGAGGTGGAGGGCAAGGAGAGGCGGTGTGGGCGGCCACGGATAAGAGGCTCGCCCCCACCCCAGCCCTCACTCATGCCGGAGTCCCTGGAGCTCCCGCTACTACTGCTGCAGGAGTCCCTCTTGGTGCCGGCAGCCACCCCCGGCCCCCCGCTGATGCCGCTGCTGATGCTGCTGCCGACGCTGCCGTTGGTCTTGGTGATGAGGTTGTTGGCGGTGTTCATATTGCTGCAGCTGTTATTGCCGCTGCTGCTGCCGCTGCTCACGCTGCTGCTGCTACGGATTGTCTTGCCCAGACTTTCCTGCGACAGTGTGATGGTCGAGGGTGGGCCATCACCCCCTTGTTGCTGCTGCAGCTGCTGTTGTTGCTGCTGCTGTTGTTGGGGGTGCTGTTGCTGCTGTTGACTTGCCTCAGCCGGGTCTTCAGTTTCTCTGGCCTTCGCCTCCTCTTTTTTTTTCTCTTCTTCCACTTTTCCTTCTTCCTCTTCTTCATCTTCGCCTTCCTCGACGATGGTGTCGTCCAGTACGTCCAGCTCGTACAGTGGATCATCCTCGCCGTCATCATCATCAACAACATCGTCGTCCTCATCGTCGTCGTCGTCGTCGTCGTCATCATCGTCGTCGGTTGGTTGGGTTCGCGACTCGAAGAGTTTGATGCCGGACTCCTCGACGAAGGCTTCATCATGGTCTGGCTCCTTGGGCTTGGGCTCCGGCTGGCGGTTGAGGGGGCCCATGCTGACGCCCTTGGCCAAGTTGGTGACCAGACGGGTCCTGGTGAGGAACCCGCCCCCTGACAACCTGGGTCCCTGGCTTGGCCCTCGCTCACCCGAGCTCCGCCAACCATACCCGCTGCCGTACTGCAACGCGCCGCTCACTGGGACACCTATCACACCACCTATCACACCGCCTACTGGGGCACCTATCACGCCGCCCACTGGGCCACTTATCACGCCGCCCACTGAGCCACCTGTCCCGCCCTGGGGCTGCTGGCCACCCGCACCACCACCCCTAAGTGGCTGGTGTGGGCGGGCGGTGGTGTGGGCGGCAGAGGAGAGGGCCGAGTCCTTGGCGCGGGGCTCCATCTTGCTCCTTAACTTTGTACAAGAGGTAAGTCACCTCTCACGCCCTGTTTGAACTATGACTTCCTGATTTAAGTTACCATTTGGCAAAATTGGGAATGTTTTTAACTGGGATTCTTTGGGGTTGGAATGTCTATGTCACCATTTTCTGGTCGTGTCAACGGCTAGGAGAATATCGCATGACCACCTTCCATCACAGTCTTCTCTGTGGCACTGTTATTATAACCCGCTGTAAAACACACCAACAACATGAAAAACAATCACTTTCTTTTCATACAGTGCCATAGTGACCCCCCATGTGTGTCCCGGTTTTTTCTCAGGACCGTCGGGAGTCGGAACAATGTATTAGTTGCACGAAAGAAGCTGACGGTAGAGAAACGCAAGATGCAGACAATACAGAAACACAGAAGACTGACAGTGAGGAAATAGAATATGCTGACAACACAAGACACAGAGGCAGTTGACAGTGTTGAAACAATGGGAGACGAACCTGGCTACATTACACACACACACACACACACACAAAACCATGTCACCATCAACCATACCAAGACCATGGTTATGCATATCAAACTTTCCTCCACCAATGTCCCCCCCCCCTCCATTACTTTGGGCCCCAATACTCTCCAGGCTGTGAACTCCACCAAACTCTTCGGCGTCAAATCTTCCAGCTTTCGTCTCTACCTCCTCCGTCGTCTCAAATCCCTCGGAGTTCCCGCGCCCGAGCTCCTCAATGCTTACTCAACATTCATACTTCCCATACTTCCCCTACCTGGTCTTCCTCCCTGCATGCCACACAACGGAAGTACCCTAAAAAAAGTGCAGAAAAGGGTGTGCAAGATTATTCCCCCTGCTCCACATATCAAGAAGCGCTCAACGCAATGACCCTCTCGGCTCTCTCTGATCATCACCTGACCTCATCTGCAAGTTTGGGGAGAAGCAAGTACTCACCTGGCACGTCAATGACTTACAATACAAGTTTGCTGCCCTCAAACCCTACGCCTACGTTGCAGGTGTCGACGCTCTTTACCTTGAAAAAAAAAACGCGGTGCGCTGCTGGTACCTATGCACTCAGTGGCTACACATGCGTTGAGAGCCTCTCCTCTCCTGTTCTCCCCGCCGATGGCCCACAACGAGGCCATGCAGGTGGACTACGTATCTACGTCAAGAAGGATGTTCCCTACCAACCTCTTGACTTCAAAAAGGGACACAGAGCATCAGTGTCAAATTACGGCCGATCAGTTTGACGTCAGTAGTGGGGAAATTTCTTGAATCAATTATAGCAGATAGCATCCGATCGCATCTAGAGAAAAGCAAATTAATCTACGACTCTCAACATGGGTTTACAAAGGGAAAATCTTGTCTAACAAATCTGCTAACGTTTTTTTAGGAAAGTCTTCGAGGTAGTAGATAATGACGAAAATTACGATGTTATTTACTTAGACTTTAGCAAAGCATTTGACAGAGTACCGCATCAGAGGCTTCTGAGACAAATTAAGGCTCATGGTATCGAGGGGAAAGTTTTAAATTGGATAAAATCATGGCTCACCGATAGAACGCAGAGGGTCAGCGTAGATGGTGTTAAATCTGAGTGGGGCCGTGTAACCAGTGGGGTTCCCCAGGGGTCAGTACTAGGACCACTCTTGTTCATAATCCCCATAAACGATCTAGATACTGGGATCAGCAGTGATATAAGCAAGTTTGCGGATGACACCAAAATAGGGCGGCAGAATAATCCAAGGCAGGATGCAAATGCATTACAGGAGGATCTAAATAAACTGCAGGGGTGGTCTGAAAAATGGCAAATGAAATTCAACACCAGCAAGTGCAGCGTACTTAATATTTGAAGAACAAATACTGTCAATGTATACAGCCTTAACAACATCAACCTAGAGAAGTCGACTTGTGAAAGAGACCTAGGGGTACTTGTAAGCCCGAAACTACGGCCTAGAAAACAAAAACAGTGCGTTAATGTTCGAAATAAGGCAAACAGAGTATTGGGTTTTATATCTAGAAGTGTAAGTAATAAGAGTGCAGGAGTCTTATTGCAACTATATCTTGCGCTAGTCAGGCCGCACCTCGATTATGCGGTTCAGTTCTGGTGCCCTTATTATAGAATGGATATCAATTCACTAGAGTCGATGCAGCGAAGAATGACGAAAATGATTCCGGGACTTAGAAACCTTCCATATCAGGATAGGTTAAAGAAACTTAACTTGCATTCCCTAGAAAGACGAAGAGTGCGGGGAGATATGATAGAAGTATTTAAGTGGGTGAAAGGAATCAATAAAGGGGCTATAGATAAAGTTCTTATAATATCCGAGCAGGATAAAACTCGGAGCAACGGATTTAAGTTGGATAAGTTTAGGTTTAGGAGGGAGATAGGAAGGAACTGGTTCACAAATAGGGTGGTGGACGAGTGGAACAAGCTTAGCAACTTTGTAGTAAGTGCTGGAACGCTGGAAAGTTTCAAAAGGAGGCTAGATAGATTCATGGATGATAGTGAGTGGTAGTAACTCTCGACAGGAGCTGCCATGCACAGGCCAACCGGCCTATTGCAGACTCCTTATTTTCTTATGTTCTTATGTTCCCCCTCGATGCTGTAACCGACGCACACACCATCACAATCATATTAAAATGTATGTCCTTCAATATTGTATTGTAAATGTCTGCCACTTGGCATTATAAGGGACCTGCCACACTCTCGTAAATATATGAAGTGCACCGGGAACTTTCCCTCTTCCACACTTATCCTCCTGTCACTATATGTAATTTGCTGACAAAACCCATGGCCGTTCAGGCACTTGCGTCCTTAATGCATGAGTCACAAAGGCCAGCATGAACCCCAAGTGCTTCCCTGTTGGGCGCTGTAAACTCTTTTGCGCTTCGCAATGCACAGGATGTAAGGAGGTGCCCAATAAACTAGCCCTCTCGCGGGGCAAATCTGAAATCTGAATCAGACGGCACGACCTACACCCAGCCCACCACGGCACGACCTACACCCAGCCCACCACGGCACGACCTACACCCAGCCCACCACGGCACGACCTACACCCAGCCCACGACCAAAACACTCTATCAACCCAAACACCGCAACAGATTCCACGTGTATAAAATGTTCCCATGAAATCACACACACACACACCCGCTCCCCCTCCCCACTTGGTTTTAACATATTGGGACCGTATTTATTGATCTGGTCTTAGCTCTTAAGGTGGCCAATGTTCCCTCGTAAACTTTGAAGAGAAAGGTCAATGACGCGAGACACTCAGTACCAGTTAGGAGACCAAGTTAAAGTAGAGTCTCAGTGTTAATTTTGTCTTCCAACTGGTGTGAACGTGCTAGTTATGGTAGAATTTCGAGTAAGTGTGTGTGTGTGTGTGTGTGTGTGTGTGTGTTATAATTAAGTCAGATTCTTAATATCTTCACTACTCATCATATACGAGACTTCATGACTGAGTTCTCATGAGGTACAGCTGTAGGTCGCTCAGGTCATGGTAAAAACAGGTATGTCGGCCTCTATACCTTGACCCAGTACGCCTTCACTCATGCTGGTGGACGTGCACTGGCAATCACCTCACCTGACCTTCCACCTCGATATAAAGTGGGTCACACACTGGCCTGACCACACCACACTGGCCTGACCACACCACACTGGCCTGGCCACACTGCTGCTCACATCCTGCGACCTACGTTATCATCTCCCCCGAGTACACTCTTCCGCCTCTACCGTCATGGACTTCCCCAAGTGTTGACGTGGTCGTCCACACCTTCCCTGGTCGTAAATCCACACAACTGTGACATGTACTCAAACTTAGTTGCCTCGAGCAGATTGACGATGCCGCCTCCTCTCTCACGACCTCCTGCCCTCCTCTCCTTGTCTACTGTGATGGGTCTGTTGACAATGGGCGGCGCTGGAGTAGCAGTGTGGATCCCTGAACGCCAAGCTCGCAGGAAAATCACCTTCCATGATTGGGCCTCCTCCACTGACACTGAGAGCATAGCCATCCTCGCGGGCGTCACTGAAGGCTCATTCAATACCCGTACTCATCGCCAGAACCTCATTATGAGTGACAGCACTTCTGTGATAGTGAGGCTCAAATGCCCCCCCCCTCCCCGCCGCCGCCGCCGCCCAAGATACCCGAGCCGTCGCCGGGCAAGAGCAAACAGATGACATCCGTGTCAAGTTTATCTGGATCCCGTCACACATACGAAAAGCTGCCTGTGACACTGTTGATCGTCTTACCAAAGAAGCGACACAAAAAGAGGACACTGAAGCCACCCTCGCCCTCTCCCTCAACCATCCCATACACGCCACACAACGAGAAGCATTCGACGAACACTGGACACACCTCAAACACCGCAGAAGTACCACACTGCACCACTGTGACGCAGTAACCGGTGACGGCATCCTCACTTGCCCTATGACCTCCTCCTACAGGTCCCCAGCCGTCACCAACACCTCGTCCCTCCCTGACCAGATATCCCTCCTCCTAGTGACAGGCCTGGCACCTGACATTATTAGGGACCTGCCACATTTTGCCATAAACAGATGAAGACTGCCAATCCTCCCCCCACACTTAACGCCTGTCACATTATGTAACTTGCTGACAAAACCCATGACCCTTCAGGCCTTTACGTCCTTAATGCATGAGTCACGAGGCCAGCATGAACTACGCTTGCTTCCCTGTTGGGCGCTGTAAACGCTTTTGTGCTTCACCTTGCACAGGATGTAAGAGGGCTGCCTAATAAACTAGCTCTCTCGCGGGGCAAATCTAAGATGACACACACACACACACACACACACACACACACACACACACACACACACACACACACACACACACTTTAACTAGATAAATTCAGTTAGCACCAGTTACGAGACAAAATTATCACTTACACTAATTCGTGAATCCTTTACCCAACCTTGAACTATCATGTACGACCCCGCTTAATAAGTACAAGGATCCTATTGGCCACTGAGAATTATAATTACGATCAAGAAGAAATGTCATTGGTCAAGTCGTGTAGAGAGACATACAAAGGCAATTACCAATGAAATTATTATAAATTATATGTCTATAATGTGAACAGGAAATACCATCATAACAGGGGGGCGTTTTGATTGTTGAACATGATCAGTAATTGTTCACTACTACTACTCTCTCTCTCTCTCTCCTGAAGGTTACTGATCAGTGACGAGTCTGTCTGTCTGTCTGTCTGTATACC